TTCTCCAGTACTTTATGGTTTGATTATTGTAGCTTCATTGTGTGGCCTGATTCTCTGTGAAATGGAAGACTGCCACCAAAGGTTGTATCCTACATTAGATTCTTATCCTGTAACTCTTCAGTTAAAACTTAATCAGTGAATCTAATGAGCAGGCATTGCTAATTGAAATTAAAATTTATTTATTTAATGGTGTCCTGTAAGTAAAATGGTTAAATAAGAAGAACACAGCTGGCCAGGCAGCATCAGAGGAGTAGAAAAGTTGACGTTTCGGGTCGGGACCCTACTTCCAACCCAAAACGCCAACTCTCCTGCACCTCTGATGCTGCCTGACCTGCTGTGCTCCTCTAGCTCCACACTGTGTTATCTCTGACTCCAGCATCAGCAGTTCTTACTATCTCTGGTTAAATAACAAGTTTTTTTTTTCTTGTGTGGGACGTGGGTGTCACTGGCACAGTTAATACTACCCTTGAACTGATTGACTCTTTCGACTGTTTCAGAGGGTAGCTAATAGTCAACCGTGCAGGCCAGACTAGGTAAGGATGGCAGATTTCTTCCTCTAAAGATTATTAGTGAACCAGGTGGCTTTTTATGGCAATGACCATATGGTCGCCATCGGGCTAGCTTTTGACATCAGAGTTTGTTAAATTTAATCATCTGTCATTGTGAGGTTTGAAACAATGTATACAGAACATTAGTCAAGAGGTCTGGAATACTACATCGGTGAGCTTCCCATTGGATCCGTCACATTAACAGTCTGCAAGTCCAAGTTAGAAAAGTTCTTTGACATATAGCTGCAGAATAATCTTATCAGCCATCTGGACTAATTCCAAGAAACATTTTAATCTCTGACAGCTAGACTTTGTGAGTAGCCACTTTCAATCAAATAAATAGGGTATGCCTTATGACTTATTGCAAGTGGTCAGTACATCTGGTGAGGGCAGGAGGTCATTTGGTCGTGGTGTCTAAAATAGACTCCTCAAGGGATGTCTGTCAAACAGCCGGGCATCATTTTATGAATTGCTTTCTGAACTAATAGTATTACCATGTCATTTTCATGAAGACATTACAATAGGTAACGTACATATATAACATTTGAGGAGCGAGTTCATTGAATCAGAATATACAACATAATCATTTCTTACTTTTCCAAGTCAAGTAACATCAATAGATATACTATGCTTTAGGTTTTTCTTTTGTGAATGTGCAATCAATGAAATCTGTTCAGTTTCTAGCATGAGTGCTTTCTCAAAAGTTGCGTCTGCTACACACTCATTTCAACTCTCAATATTGAGACATGCCAGCCCATCAGATTAAACTGGAGTTAATCTTCTTCCGAGTTGCGGAGCCAGCAGTTTAACATTGAGATAACACGCTGACCATTCTATGATGGCAAATGCATAGGTTTCTGTAAACTACCAAAAATGAATGTTTGATTTACACCCATGTCCAAAGCAACTTCTTGTCAAAGGAAGTATTTTCAAATAAAATTCACTTTTGCAGTTCAATACATGACACTATGTTTGCACTCCTTTAATCACCATGATGCTGTATTGGTTCACAACTATTACAGGAGTTTATTTCCCACCAAATAGCATCCTATTGATATTATTACCAGCAAGGACAATAGTCAAAAATATTTAGTCCAAATAAGTTAGATTAGATTTACTGGATGTCCATTGAACTAAACCAGAATTTGTTTAGGAGTGATAGTTCAAGCATGATATGCAAATATTCTTTTTACATATAAAATTAAGATTTAGAAATTGTATAAAATTGTATTTTCTTTTTGCTATATTTGGATTCCATATTGACTAAGAAGTGTTATCAAAATGTTGAGCGTAGAAGATAGGAGCAATAGCTCATTCAGGTCTTTGAACCTGCTCGGCAATTAACCTGATCTGCTAATTCAATGCCTTGCCACCTATCCCTTGATATCTAGAAAATCTATCAATCTTGATCCTGAATATATGTAATAACTGGGCCAAGAGAATTTCAAAGATTCACCACAATCTGAGTGAAGGCTTTCCTGCTCCTCTCTATCCTAAAAGTTGTACTCCTTTATTCAATTGAACGAGGGATACATCAGGCTCTAACTATGGGTTTGCATACTGTTTTAATGTCTTTATAAGCTCCTTGAATTTGTGTTCCAAATATAGCAGTCTCATTCTCGAGACAGCATTGTTAGGAATGAACCAAAAGCTTGTTGCTACATTCAGGAAATGTTGTTTTGAGAACACAGCCAAAAATCTTAAATCTTTTCGACATCTCTGACCAGGAGCCAACATCTCCATGAACAGGCAATTATGTCTGGTATTTATTTCAGGATCTACTTTCAGCTTGCTTGTTGCCTCAATGTTGGGAAATTTTTGTCACTGTAAGTTCAGATTTTGTCCAGTCTTATGGTAGCCACAGTCTCTCTTCTTTACTTACACTTGATGTGCAATAAAGCAAACGTTCTGATAATGTTTGGGAATAGATTGGGCCAGGCGTTATTATAAAATTAAATTGAGGCTATGTATTCACCATTATTTATGAGTATATTTGTCAACAGCATCAGTTGAATGCATATGCATAGCTGAACATGAAAATCCAGATATTATTGTCTGGGATGTAGCACTCTTTAATGTCTTTTGTAATCTGGCTCCCCATTCAAACAGATTGAATGGCACCGAGTTCCTGTACTGCTGTTATATTTATGGACCAAACTCTCCAAATACACTTTACCTTGTCTATTTGAGTCTAAATGCTCATATTAATAGTATGAGAAGTCTTAGATAACACAGATGCATTTTTAAAATTTATGTCCTTTTATTTCTCTCACTTAATCTAAACTTTCACTTTGTTTCACTTTCTAAACCTGATTTACCATTCAATTCATTATTCTAATTGATTCAAACACTGTGCTGTATATTAACAATTCTTCAATCTGATTAAATAAGGAGAAACAGATGTTTTCCCTGTTCACATAAGTCCCAGATATCATGGAAAAGGTGTCAACTCAACAGGATCTCTAGTTTACAGCAATCTCCAGTGCAAAATGTCATAAAAGTTAACTAGGCAGGAGCAAAGGTAATGAATACTATATTCCTGCATGTCTGTAGGTATAGCTTCAAGAAGGCGGCTCACTACCATCTTCTCAAGGGCAATTAATGATAGGGAATAAATGGCTGGCCAGTGATGCCCACGTCCCACAGATAAATAAATAAATAAATAATTTGGTACTCAGGGCTGAAAAACTAGTGCATCAGTAGAAGGATCACAATTAGTCACAGAGATGAACTAGCTGGGATCTTTCATTAGCTCAGTAAACACTACGAACACAAAGTCGTAACCCGAACTATCTAAGGATTGAAGTGCTCTGATCTCTCTAGGAAATTATTACATTTTGTCTCGACTATGTTTTTATTTTACTTTATTTTTGATTGTGGACTGAATTGGGGAAAGGGCTGTTCTACAATAAAGGACTGAGAAAGGAATTGCTGTACTTTTGAAAAGCAAGTTACTGAATCTCATTGTGCATTGTGTTTACACTGGGATTGGGGGGAAGGTGTAAGAGGAGATGGCCCAGCTCCAGGGGTCTGTATAAGAGATTTGGCAGGTAACATGTTGCTGATTGGTGTGTGGAGTTGTCACCAGTTGTGGATCAATCTTACAATCTGTTGGCTTTTATTGTGTGGGAATTTGAGTACAGAAGCAGGGATGTCTTGCTGCAATTGTACAGTGCCTTGGTGAGATCACACGTGGAATATTGCATGTAGCTTTGGTCTCCTTATCTGGAGAAGGATGTTCTGGTTCAGTAGGGAGTGCAATGAAACTTTATCAAACTGATTCCTGAAAAGGCAGGACTGATGTTAGAGGTGAGATTGGATTGGTTAGGAATACATTCCCTGAAGTGCTGAAGAATGAGGGGTTCTCATAGAGATGTATAAAATCTAACAAGACTAGCCAGGCTAAATGCAGGAAGGATGATCCTGATGACTAGGAAGTCCAGAACCATGCACCACAGATTAAAGATATGGGGTAGGCTACTTAGGATTGAGATGAGGAGAAATTTCTTTCATCCATAGCATGGTGAACCAGTGGAATTCTCTGCCACAGAAAGTGATTGAGGCCAAAACATTGAATGTTTTCAAAAAGGAGTTCTAATGTGGAGGTGCCGGTTTTGGACTGGGGTGGCCAAGGTCAGAAATCACACGAACCAGGTTCTAGTCCAACAGGCTTATTTGAAAATGCAAGCTTTTGGAGCCTAAGTCCTTCTTCATGTGTTAGTGAGAGAGGTAATGTCAGACACAGAATTTAGAAGTAAAAGATCAAAGGTTCACACTATTCATGAGGATGTACTAAACAAACCTAAGATGCTGTTAAATCATTAATCAGTTAGAAGGTTTTAGTTGATTAATATGTATATGTAGATCCCCGAAGTCCTTTCAAGTCACAGTCCTGAGAGAACTAGAGGTTTTATCATTGGAAAGAAGAGGTGACATTTAAGGTCAGACAATGCATGTTAGATGTGAGACCTTGTTTAGAATCTGTTTGTGTTCTAGTTGGAGTCAGACTGGTTTTATCTCTAAAGTAGGAATTTATAAAACACCATATTGACTGACTGTCTATAAATTGTGTGCTTTTTGAACAAAATCAAATGTATCTGCAAATATAAATTCACCCCATAGATTTGTGTGTGTGTGTGCGTGTGTGTGTGCGTGTGTGTGTGCGTGTGTGTGTGTGTGTGTGGGGTGTCGTGTGATTTCTGACCAAGAAGGAGTAAGGCTAAAGGAATCAAAGGCTATGGAAAGAAAGCACCAGATAAGGAGTAAGACAATCAGCCATGATCATATCAAGTGGCAGAGCAAGTTCAAAGGGCCAAATGGCCTACTCCTGCTCCTATTTTCTATGATGGGTTCCTGGGTGTCTGAACAGTTTGTGAGTGTGAACAATACCGGCAGAAGTCCTCAGACTGTTGGTGCATCTCTCTGCACAGTAAAATGCCCAGAGTCTGAAGAAAACCAATTTATTTTCTCCCAGCCAATTACTGTTAAACATTGCTTTTAACCAATATAATTCATCATATAAAATACACTTCATGAACCAGTTGCTCTGTGTCTCCTGTAAAGAAGTGAGAGAACCTAACAGAAAAGAATCTGAGAACTGAAGGACTTGGGAAACAAAAGAAACGCTCTATTGAATCCTGTGGATTGGTGCTATTGAACTATTTCCCCATTATTTGTTTGTCTCCATCTGTTATACAATGCTTTTCTCATCTATCTGTGTACATGTGTATGGTGGGGGTGTTGCAGAATGCTTAGAACGGGTGTTAACTATTAGGGTATATGTCAGCAGCTCATGGCTCTTTATCTATGGTTAGAGTATTATTTTCACAATAATAAGTAGTTCTTGTTAAGTGCAGAATTCTGTTCAGTTCTGTTTTCTGCTATCAAACAAGCTAATCTGGGACTTTGCATACTTTGGTTGAATTTTTATGATGATTCCAGGAATAGTGGAGCTTAATTTCCAGTGTGCCACCCAAGTCCGTTAAAAAGAGATTCAAACTTCCAGTTGATAGCTGAAAGAATGGCAATTCATAGTATAAAATTTTGATTGCAATAAATTGCTAAAAGCACTATAGACTAAACACTACATATTTTCTGGCAGAAAATGATGCTTTAAACTACAGAAAGGCGCATTTTCTTTTATATTTATTCCTTTCCCCACAGAATTGCAGTCCTTATAACAAAATTCCACAGTTGCTCCCAATGAGAGTTAGTCTTTCTGCTTCACTGAGTAGTAACTTTGACTAACTGTCTCCAAGCACTTCCTTCAGTTTTCAGAAAGATTATTAAATCTACCACCAGCAATAAAGCCTGCTCCAATTATTCTTCTCCTAACACATACCAGAACTGGCAAGGTACAGATTGTGGAATCCTGCAACGCTTTTAACCAGCTTTCTATGTGTCTCAGAGAAACTGCCTCTTGCTCCTATGCCCCCTTGTGCATGTTAGTGAAGTTATTATTGGCCAACACTATTGGCTCCTCTCCTGCCTGGGTTTGAGATGGTTTCTGGCTTCTGGCAATCCTCTGAGTGCCAGCGACCTGGGACAGTCATTCCTCAACCAGCTGTGGAGACGCAGCAGTCTGGTGCCCACCAGAATGTCTCCTGACTTTAATCTACATAAGGTATTGACTGAGGTGTCAGTGTCTAAGCTGATGGACGGTGCAGGAGACAGCCTTGCTGTTCCCCTCCTGAGGCATCTGTATCTTCTTCCTTAGAGGAGGAGGTTTTAACTGGAAGGACACCCCAGCTCAGGGTGGAGATTGTTTGGATGCTCATTGGTGCCTGGAACAGAACAGAGAGAGAATCAGTTGTAAAATAAGGAAGGCTAGCAGCTTGGGCATGTTAAGAATACATTCAGAAAAGACATAGAGGTCTAGGCATTTCTCTATGAGTGGTCATACTTCTCTCCCCTAATTTCAAGGACTTTGCTGTGTATGGGATGAGAAGAGAACTGTTGTCCCCCAGTTTATTCTCTCTTTCTGCCCTGTAGTGAGCTGTTTTCTCCTGCAATGAAGCAAGAGAAGGAATTGACTGAGAAGAAAGCAGGTGGCACAGCTGGTAATGCTGATGCAGGTGAAGGAAAGGTGGTGAGTGAGTAAGAATTGCAGATGGCAGGAAGGGCCAGTCACCCAGAGGCGTGGGGTGGGTTAGAACCGTTGAAGGAAGATGCTGCAAGCAATAATGCAATGGGTAGACTACGAGCCTTGATGGGAGGTGTGTGTGGGGACAGAGACAGAATGAGTGTGACATCACAGAGAGAAGATGGTTGACACTTACCCTGGCAGGGCAGCGAAGGTCACTTGTTTTAGTTCGACATTGCTGAGCATTCCTCTGAACCACAGACACTGATTCTGGGTGGCACCTTCAGACCAAGCTGCTCAGTATAGTGACGTGGTCACCTCTTCATTATCCCATCAAACAGGACTCTGTCTGCAAATCGGGGTGGGAACTTGCCACTGTCAGCCACCTCTGGGGCTCGTCTTCACTCACTGCAACTGCGAGGCTCTATTCCTGGTTTACAACATTTGCTGTGGTGCACGGGTCGGCATTTAAATGTGGCACAGAGGAAATGCCAGGCAGCAATGAGTATTTCCAACTCTGGTGAACTTAAGATAGCATGAGTGCAATGCTGTGGAGACATGGTGCACGCTTAATGAGGTGAGCCATGTATATTCGAAAACTCGTTAGAATCTAGGACTGAAACCCTCCATGAAATTCCCCAAATTTGACAACACGGCTGATTTTCCGCAAAAGGCAGCATTCTGTTTCTCTCTCCACAAGTACAACCTGATCTGTTGAGACTTTCCAGCTGTTCTGTTCTTTTGTTACTCTTCCTGCCTGATAATATATATATATGAAAGTTTTCATTATCTATTGTGCTACAATTTCATCATGCCTGTTTGACATTAGTTTTGTCGAGTAGTGTTAAGGTAACGTTTTTATAACACAATAAATGTCTGCTGTATATGAAACTAACTGAAACTAGATTCATCACTCACCTTCTAAGCACTCGCTTACAATCCTGTCCCTTCTCATATGTAGCTCACAGCTCAAAGCCTCCTTCAATTACCTGCAAGAAGCAATAGTATTGTTAATATTTTGCATCAAAGATTACACTGAAATTTCTGACAATTATGCTATGATCCTGCTGTTAGTCATGCTAAGCAAGTAAGATTCAAAAGTAAAACTATCAAATCATAGAATCCCTACAGCATGGGGGAGGGACTGTCTGTGTGGAGTTTGCACATTCTCCCCGTGTCTGCGTGGGTTTCCTCCGGGTGCTCCGGTTTCCTCCCACAGTCCAAAGATGTGCAGGTTAGGTGGATTGGCCATGCTAAATTGCCTATAGTGTGTTCAGGGATATGTAGATTAGGGGGATGGATCTGAGCAAGATTCTCTAAGGATTGGTGTGGACTTGTTGGACCAAAGGGCCTGTTTCCACACTGTAGGGATTTTATGATTTGGCCCAAATAGTGTGCACCAAACCTCCAAAGAGCATCCCACCTAGACCCACCTCCCCCTACCTTATCCCTGTAGCCCTGCATTTCCCATGGCTAATCCACCAACCTGCATAGCTTTGGACTGTGGAGGAAACCCATACAAACACAGGGAGAATGTGCAAACTCCACACAGGCAATTGCCCAAACGTGGAATTGAACCCAGGTCCCTGGTACTGTGAGGCAGCAGTGTTAACCACTGAGCCACCATATCAGCCCTAGCTTCGTAGACCATAAGTTTTATTCATACAATTTGGTTACTGTGGTTTTCAGTAACCGAATATATTCACACAAGGTTGTCTATGAACTTTTTACAAAAGAACATAAGTTTATTACATGAAAGGAAAGAATAAAAAGCAAAGTTATATATTGTTATGGATGAGACCAGACCCCCTCAATATATTTTAAGAAGGTAGCCTAGACCCTAGATTTTTCTTAATTTAAAGGCAAATGTAAAGTGTCGGTTCTAGGTGCAATGTGATTGATCAACCTACTTGATGTTAAGTATAACACAATTTATTTAAACACAAGTTAAAATACAACTAAAGAAAGAGGAATTTAGAATAACAACTCTATTCGAAAACTTAACGGAATAATAGATACAGTTACTATTATTAATCAACTGTTCCAATATAGTAACATTTCATAAACACACTCCTTGGCAAAAAAGGAAAATTCAGTCACAGATTCTGACATGCAGTTCTCCAATTCCAGAGGAAAAAATATCATGAGAATATTCAAAGTGAATAGCAGCAAGGAGACATTCACTGAAGCTTTCAATTCTGCTTAGACCCCAATAGCTTCTGATGTTACTGAAAATCTAAAACTCAGAAATCCTAATCTGTGAAAGCTGGCCACACTCATTCAGGCTGTTCAAAAAAAAAACCCAAGGCCTTCCAAGCTGTTTACTCAAGTGGTCTTAACTCGCCAGCTTTTTACCTCTAATTCAATCTCTCAAAAGAAACCAGGACAAAGTAGTCTCTTAAAGCTACAGCATCATCACAATATAGATGAAGATTTTGAACAATCTTATCATAAACAGCACCCAAAACTTTTTAACTCTTTCGCCAACAATATCCTTTACAGATACCCCAGTGAGGTATCACTCCTATGGTCACTCTAAAATTTCTTACTAACTGGTGTCATTGCAAGCATTACCTTTTGCAACTTTCTATACACACATGATTCTCTATTTAAAACACAACACAGCTAATTCATTGACATTGACACTTTCAGGCTGCTAAAATATCTTAAGACTTCATTCCAGTTCTGATGGCCTAGAGACTGACACTTCTGCTGGAACGGATCTTTGCTTCTGAATGCTAACTATTTGTGACCCTTAACAAACAATTTCTCTCTTGCTATGTACCATAAACATTCAAGTCAATAATAAGAAACAACTGCTTCACTGTTAGGATGTTGAGTCATTTATCTTAAGCTTATTGAATAAATTAGTTTAAGTCACATGATTTATTGGAAGGGCTGTGTTTAGTTCACTGTTCCAAATGACTTTCTGACCCTTTTCTGCAAAGAATCAAATCAGACCTTCACTTCACTGAAAACCAAAAACTAATTCACCTTCAATTAAGAACAAAATTTCCACATAATAATACTACATTATAAACTTTAATCACAATTATCTTATAGAAAATAAAATTTCATCTCTAAATTCGCAGATTTTAACATATGGAGAGTGGCAATCCTGCCTCAGACATTTTACATGTTAAAGAAGTTCATTAAAAGATTCCACTTTTCTTGCAAGAATCAATGCTTATATTTCAAACCTGCCTTTTTAGCATCATGTAATTCATCTTTTGTTATCGAGTTGTTTGTGAAAAATATTTCCAGCTGCCATCTCAGTTTCAGAGGGAGTGGATTCAGTATTACATTTAATAGAACAAAATTTAAATAATGTATTAAAATTACCCACACCAGTTAACATTTGTCTGTATCTAAACATTAAAATATGTTTCTGTGCAGTGGTCTATCCTGTCTTGTCAGTGTCATACTTGAGTTTTCTTTTCCTGCAGGTACAGGCTTTCTTCGTTCCTTTCCTGTCCCACTCGAACTAGCCTTGGATCCTGTGCCGCCTCCATACACAGTGAAGGCTTTGCTCTATTTTATGTACTTTTCCTCCTAGATGCTTTTAATCAGTGATTAATACTTGAATTTTCTTCCCCCTCTGTGGCCTATTTCTCTCTATCACCGCACTACTGTGCTGACTGCAAATCCCTCCATGGCCTTTATCCCCTCCCTATCTCTGTAATATCTTCCAGACCAGCTCCCACGTCCCTCTGAGATGTCTGCACTTTTCTAATTCTGACCTCTTTTGCAACCCCAATTTTAATTGCGACACATTCACTTAGTCTCCTATTGTTGGCATAGTCGGCACCTGGAGTATTTCTGCTCCCTGAGGTGTGGGGTAAAGGTGGGTAATGAAGAGAACCACTCTCTTTGACCATCAGGGCCTTGGAGGCAGCATCTGTGAACCTTGATACTGCCTCAGAGCTCAGTTCAGCCATTCATCTGTTTCCAAAAGCATATCCTTGTTGTCTGCTGTCAGCATGTACCTCCCTTTGAATAGGTGCCTTCTGCCAGAATGGACAGATGTCTTTTCTTTTACATATAGTCAGTCCATTTTAGTAAAGTTGTTCATACTCCCTGCTGTATGTCAATGGGAAAAATTACATATTTCAAATCCTTATTCAAGACATGGAAGAATTAGATATTTGAGCCAGACGAGAATTCAAAACATACTTATGTATATTTCAGTCATACTATCCTGGCTTCATATTGTCTAAAAAAGAGCAGGCCTCTCTCTGGACTCCTCTCAAGTCAAGGGTCAACTTGCAGAATATTTCAGAAGAATGCATCTCATTGAGGGTGACCATGTAAAGACCTCAGTTTTGGCTTATTTAATTCTGCCAGTAACACTGAAAATGAAGTAAAATGGTAATTTTACCTCTGAATATTTTAAAGTTCTTCTTTCATCCAGCAAATTAGAATTTAACTGCGTAATTTCTATATTTTTTATGTTAGAAGGTAACAGAAGATCAATCAGTGATTCTCAAATATATGTAAATATTGATACTTTAATCCAATGTAGAATATTAGCTGAACGACATTTGAGACATAGCTATGCCATTTCATTGTTGCAAACAATGCAGCACTTCTGTGAAATACGGAAAAATATGTGGTATAAACTTATCACCAGTATGCAGTTATACAAACCAACTCATGAAAAATTATTAAATATAAATTACTCTTAAAATGAGCAACAAGAACCTCTATTGTTACATTTTGTACTCTAACACAGCGATTGTAGAGTTCAAATTGGAATGGGGTGGTCAGTTAGCGCAGTTGGCAGGCTGGTTTACAATGCAGAGTGATGGGTAGCTGTGTGGGTTCAATTGTCAAACCAGCTGAGGTTACAATGAAGGGCTCTCCTTCTCACCCTGAGGTGTGGTGACACTCAGGTTAAACCACCACCAGTCATCTCTCTCTCTAATGAGAGAGCGGCCCTCCGGGACTTTGGCAGCCTTTAGAGTTAAAACCAAAGTGTCTGACAAAATTTTAATTTTGAAGTGAAAAATTATTGACTTGGGAACTTCTGTAAAGAAAAAGTTAAGACAAATAAATTTTGTGTAAAGTAAAACCAACAGCGTCATAACAAACGGTTGAAACAAGCCATTAGGGAGGCAAATGATACATTAGATTTCTTTCCAAGGGGATTGAAATACAGGAAGAAAAATGTCTTGCTATAATTGTTTAGAGGTTTGGCAAGAACACATCTGGAGTATTGTGTGGTCTCCACGTTTAAGAAAGGATATACTTGCAATGGACGTGGTACAACAAAGATTCACTAAATTGGTCCCTGCAATAAGCGGGTAGTCCTATCATGAGAGGCTGCGTAAATTGAGTTTATATTCTTTGGGGATTAGAAGAATGAAATCTGATTTCAATAAACCACACACGATTATGAAAAGGATAGAGTAGACACTGTGAGATTCAGTTTCCACTGGTTATAAAATCTAAAACTTGGCAATACAGAATCAGGATAAGGGACCAAATATTTAAGACTGAGATGAGGAGAAATTGCTTCACTCAAGGTTGTGAAATTTTCAAGGAAAAAGCAGAGTTGACGTTTTGGATCTGGTGACCCTTCCTCAGAGCGGTTCTGAGGAAGGGTCACCAGACCCAAAACGTTAACTTTGATTTCTCTCCGCAGATGCTGCCAGACCTGCTGAGCTTTTTCGGCAGTTTCTGTTTTCGTTTCTGATTTACAGTATCCGCAGTTCTTTTCGTTTTTATGGTCTCTTGAGGAATCAAGGTTGACAGGGAGCAAGTAGGAAAGAGGAGTTGAAGCCCAAGGTAGACACAATCTCATTGAATAATTCCTCAGTGCTGAAAAGAAGGTAGCGTCATGAAATTGAAATAAGTGCTGACAAGTTCCATGACTTATAATGATTGAAAAAGCTGAACCAATTTAATAAAGGGGCCATAAAACAAGCATTGGGCCTTTATTTGACGGAGTAAATGGACTAATAGCTGTTTCAGGCTTAGGCATCTCTATTTTGAAATGTTACGATCTAGTAACAATGGTCTATCTGTACTCAATTTCCATCATCTCATTTTAATATCTGAGACTTTCTTTAACTAAAAAGGGGTTCCGTCACAGTGCAATGTAGTGGTCCTACCTCTGAGCAAAGAGGCCCAGGTTCAAGTCTGACCTGCTCCAGAAGTGTGTAATAACATTGCTGAACAGGTTGATTAGAAAATACCTGGACTAAGGATATGGTGGGAATCTCATGTGATGCAGTGGTAGTGTCCCTTTCTCTAAACAAGAAGGCCTGTGTTCAAATCCCACCTACTCCAGAGCTTTTTCTAACATCTCTGAACATATTGATTAGAAAATACATGAAATAAACGTGGTTTTACAAAGTACAAATACTGACCCAAAATGCCTGGAATGAACACTTGACCATGTTGATCCACGCTGATAAAACCAAATCTAAATGAGGATCAGTCTGAGCCCAAATTGACATCAGTGTAAAAGGGCACTGAAAGTCAGACCTGTATCTCCCAGTTGATTTTTCGAAGTTGCACATTGAGTTGAAAGGTTGCCTGTGGATTATTTCGGCTTGGAAAAGCAATGAGCAGCCTCAGGAATATACAAGTGGACCTTTGTTAAAACCTTCTTCTGAGCAGCAGTGTAGAGAGAGGGAAATAAATGAATTTGGTAAGCAAGAACTGGATGACACTCTCACTGTCAGTCTCTCTCAACCTCAATACTAATTGTCTGATGGAAAAGCAACTTGGAAAATCCACTGGGGAATCAAGGCTATCTCCAAGTTTTGCCACTCCTGAGGAGACAGGACAACAGCTAAACTATTAGGATTCGTCACTCTTATGACTCAAGGACTCTGGAAAACCTTAATTTGCAACTGTCTGTACCATCCTGTCAGAGTAGATACCCTTCTCCCCCTCTTGTTTTTAAGCTCATTATCTATGTTGTGTGTACGTCATGTTTTGGCTATTTTTCTTTGTGTTTAATAAATATTAAAACTCCACTCTCTGTCATTTAAGAAAATCTTGGAATTGTCTCTTCTTCATTGATGTAGTTAACTAAGTTTCATGGAAGTGTGATAGCTACATGCCAAAAAGAAAATATTGTTGCAACTGATCAAGAGGAGGTTTAAAAAATGGGAACCAGTCAGCCAGCCTCTCTCGGTCATAACAGTTGTGTGCAGTGAACTTCCACATAAGAATAGGCATGTGTGTGTGCCCACCAATATATTGGGCATTTTTGTAACTGTGAAGCATCAACAAATTCCCCGGCCACAGAGCTTGAAGGACAACGTTATGAAGTCGGTCCTTTTATAGATCTGTTTATTTCTTCATGACCTTTACCTACTAAGAATAATACGATGCAAAGTAAATTATTTTACTAGTTATGTCAGCAAATTGGATTCATTAAGCAGATTCTATTAGTTTATGTACTGTACTGGAACAAGTTGTTCTTCAGACTGTCCAAGTAATAAATAGCAATGTCAAGTTATTTGAAAAGGTAAAATCAATTCAGTTACTGTGCACCTTTGCCAATTTGGCTGTCTATTTGAAATCTGAACAGCTTCAAAATTGGAACAATGGCATTTAAACTGTATATTGTTTTACACAGGCAAATTGAATATTTCTAATATCTATCGATCCAAAGAGTCAAAGCATCTTAATAAAAACTCAACCTGCATTTTGAGCATATTTTTCACATGGTCTTACTTCTGTTTTTAAGAAAGCTACACACAAAATGTAAATAAAATTTGACATAGTTACTTCCTCAGGCTAGCAGCAATCCTGGTGAGATTCCCCAGTTCTTAAAAGGATCCATGATGAGAAGTATCAGAGCTTCTCTGTTGATTCTGTAGGCATTAGCAACAGAAAATAAATCAACTGTGTAAGTGCAGGTGACTTCTATTTCTTACAAAGACAGCAGTGGAATTGAGCATGTTCCAAAATAGCCCACAGCAAAATAAACTGTGGATTCTGAACATCTGAAATGAAAACGAAGCAATGCTAAACAAACTCAGCAGGTCCGGCTGCAGCTGGGGACAGGGAGATAGAGCTAACTTTTATCAGAACTGGAAAAAGTTAGTGATGTCATAGGTTTTACACAAGTACAGAGACAGGAAATGGAGAGAGAGACAAAGAAACAATAGGAAGGCCCATGATAGGGCGAGGATAGCACTTCTGACTTCATACTGTCCCCTGTCACCCAATTCCCCTTGCCTTCATCTTCCACCTCACCAACCCCCACAACTAACACATCATCCTCTGCCATTTCTGCTATTTCCAGTGACATGCCACCACCAACTCATCTACCCACCCCCCCCCCCCCCGACTCTCCTTTCAGCATTCCAAATGGATCGCTCTCTGATAGAATGATCGACTCCTCAACCACTCCCAACACTGTTTCCTCTTCCTCGGCATCTTTCTACATAACAGCAGGACATACAACACCTGCTCTTTTGTCTCCTCTGTTCTCTAAACATGGTTTGCAGATGGAGTGCTGAATTCCATGAATTCATTTCAATTCAGTATATCGAGTTGCTGCTCATGATGTGGCCTGCTCCCACACTGGGGACACCATGGAGACTTGGGCTGACTGGTTTGCAGAAATTCTCCACTCAGACTGCCAAAGGATCCTGAGATTCCCTTTTTTATGCATTTTTGTGGGATATGGGTGTTGCTGGCTGGGCCAGCATTTCTTGACCATCCCTAGTTGTCTTTGAGAAGATGGTGGTGAGCTGCCTTCTTAAACGGCTGCATTCCACCTGCTGTGGGTTGACCCAAAATGCTATTCCAGCATTTTGACCCAGCGACAGTGAAGGAACAGCGATATATTTCCAAGTCAGGATGGTGAGTGGCTTGGAGGGGAACTTGAAGGTGGTGGTGTTTACATATGTCTGCTGCCGTTGTCCTTCCAGATGGATTTGTAAGGTGCTGTCTGAGGATCTTTGCTGAATTTCTGCAGTGCACCTTGTTGATAGTACACACTACTGCTACTGAGCTTCAGTGGTGGAGGGAGTGGATGCTTGTCGATGTAGTATCAATCAAGCGGGCTGCTTTGTCCTGGATGGTGTCAAGTTTCTTGAGTGATGTTGGGGCTGCACTCATCCAGGCAAGTGGGAAGTATTCCATCACACTCCTGACTTGTGCCTTTTATATGGTGGACAGGCTTTGCGGAGTCAGGAGGTGAGTTACTGACTGCAGTATTTCTACCTTCTGACCTGCTCTTGTAACCACTGTGTTTATGCGGTGAGTCCAGTTGAGTTTCTGGTCAATGATAACCCCCAGGATGTTGATAGTAGGGGATTCAGTGATGGTAACACCATTGAATGTCAAGGGACGGTGGTTAGATTGTCTCTTATTGGTGATGGTCATAGCCTGGCATTTGTGTGGCGTGAATGTAACTTGCCACTTGTCAGCCCAAGCCTGGATATTGTCCAGATCTTGTTGCATTTGAACATGGACTGTTTCAGTTTCTAAGGAGTCACAAATGGTGCTGAACATTGTGCAATCATCAGCGAATATTCCCATTTCTGACCTTATGATGGAGGGAAGGTCATTGATGAAGCAGCTGAAGATGGTTAGGCCGAGGACACTACCCTGAGGAACTCCTGCAGAGATGTCCTAGAGCTAAGATGATTGGCATCCAACAACCACGACCATTTTCCTATGTGTCAGGCATGACTACAACCACTGGAGAACTCGTCCCCTGATACCCATTGATTCCAGTTTTGCTAGGGCTCCTTGATGCCACTCTCGGTCGAATGCAGCCTTGATATCAAGGGCTGTCATTCTCACCTCACCTCTGAACTTCAGCTCTTGTCCATGTTTGAACCAAGACTGTAATGAAATCAGGAGCTGCGTGGCCCTGGTGGAACCCAAACTGGGCGTCACTGAGCAGGTTATTGCTGAGCAGGTGCTGCTTGATAGCACTGTTGATGACACCTTCCATCACTTTACTGATGATCAAGAGTAGACTGATGGGGCGGCAATTGGCCGGGTTGGATTTGTCCTGCTTTTTATGTACAGGACATAGTTGGGCAATTTTCCACATTGCTGGGTAGATGCCAGTGTTGTAACTGTACTGGAACAGCTTGGCTAGGGGAGCGGCAAGTTCTGGAGCACAAGTCTTCAGTACTATTGCCAGAATGTTGTCAGGACCCATAGCCTTTGCAGTATCCAGTATCTGCAACCGTTTCTTGATATCACGTGGAGTGAATTGAATTGGCTGAAGACTGGTATCTGTAATGCTGGGGACCCCTGGAGAAGGCCGAGATGGATCATCCACTTGGCACTTCTAGCTGAAGGTTGCTGCGAATGCTTCAGCCTTATCTTTTGCACTGATGTGCTGGGCTCTTCCATCATTGAGGATGGGGATATTTGTGGAGAATCCTCCTCCAGTGAGGTGTTGAATCATCCACCACCATTCACGACTGGATGTGGCAAGACTGTAGAGCTTAGATCTGATCCATTGGTTGTGGGATCACTTAACTCTGTCTATCACTTGCTGCTTTCGTTGTTTGGCGTGCAAGTAGTCCGGTTTGGTGGCTTCACCAGGTTGATACCTCATTTTCAGGTATGCCTGGTGCTGCTCCTGGTATGCCCTCCTGCACTCTCCATTGAACCATGGTTGACCCCCTGGCTTGATGGTAATGGTTGAGTGGGGGATATGCCGGGCCATGAGGTTACAGATTGTGTTGGAGTACAATTCTGCTGCTGTTGATGGCCCATAGTGCCTCATGGATGCCCAGTCGTGAGTTGCTAGATCTGTGTGAAGTCTGTCCCATTTAGCACAGTGATAGTGCCACACAACACGAAGGAGATTGTTCTCAATACGAAGCAGGGCTTTGTCTCCACAAGGACTGTGCAATGGTCACTCTTACCGATACTGTCATGGACAGATGCAGCTGCACCTGGCAGATTAGTAAGGATGAGGTCAGGTATGTTTTTCCCTCTTGCTGGTTCCCTCACCACCTGCCGCAGACCCAGTCTAGCAGCTGTGTCCTTTAGGACCTGACCAGCTCAATCAGTAGTGCTGTTGCCGAGCCACTTTTGTTGGTGGACATTGAAATCCCTCACCCAGAGTACATTCCTGTAAGTGTTGTTCAATGTTGAGGAATACTGATTCATCAGCTGAAGGACGACAGTATGTGGTAGTCAGCAGGAGGTTTCTTGCCCGTGTTTAACCTGAGGCCATGAGACATCTTGGGGTCCGGAGTCAATGTTGAAGACTCCTACAGCAACACCCTCCCGACTGTATACCACTGTGCCGCCCCCTCTGCTGGGTCTGTCCTGCTGGTGGGACAGGACATATGCAGGGATGGTGATGGTGGTGTCTGGGACATTGTCTCTAAGGAATGATTGTGTGAGTATGACTATGTCAGGCTGTTGCTTGACAGGTGTCTGTGAGACAGCTCTCCCAATTTTGGCACTAACTCCCCGCTGTTAGTGAGGAGGACTTTGCAGGACCCTGCAGGACAGAGCTGTTTCTGCCGTTGTATTTTCTGGTGCCTAGGTCGATGCCAGGTGATCCACCCAGTTTCATTTCTTTGAGACATCGTAGTAATTGGTACAACTGAGTGGCTTGCGAGGCCATTTCAGAGGGCAATTGAGAATCAACCACATTGCTGTGGGTCCGGAGTCACATGTAGGCCAGCCTAGGTGAGGACGGCAGATTTCCTTTTCTGAAGGACATTAGTGACATTTTCGTTTTTCACCCACTCTCCTACTTCGAGCTCTCTGTCCTCAGCCTCCTGTGAAGCTCAATGTAAACTTGAGGTACAGAACCTCAACTTCCGATTCACTTTCAGTTTCAATATTTGAGTTCAAGCATTTTAAATCAAACTTCAGCTTCAATATTTCAGCCAGCAAACCATTTGCACCTCCTTCAAACTCATCTCTTGTTCCCTTACTTGTCCTACTGTCTCCTCCTTTTGTCTGGTACCATTATTCTTTTTTTCATTTAATCTTTCCTGCCTTTGATTAGGTTCATAATTTTATGTAGGTTACACTTCTAAATTTTAAAAAAAATGACAAAACTAAATGCTTTGGGATCAAGCATTTATTACTCAAGGCGTTCTTGCCTTTATTAGTCAATGCATTGAATACAAGAGCAAGGAGGTTATTGTAATGGTGCTGTACACAGTGTTAGTTCGATCATAGCTGGAGTATTGTGCATAGTTTTGGTCACCACGTTATAGGTACAATGTGATTGCTCAAAAGAAGGTATAGAAGAGATTCACCAGGAAGCTGCCTGGGCTAGAGCGATTCAGCTACAAAGAGAGACTGGTTAAGCTGGGGTTGATTTTGTTTGAACAGAGAAAGCTGGAGTGATACCAGATTGAGGTGTACAAAGTTCTGGGGAACATAAATAGGATAGACAGGAAGAAATGCTTCTCCTTAGTAGAAGGATTAATGATAACGGGGTGCAGTTTTAAGGTAAGGAGCTGGAGGTTTAGAGGGAACTTAAGGAAAAAACAATTAATCAGAGGGTATCTAGAACTCACTGCATAAAGGATGATGGAGGCAGAAGCACTCAAGATATTTAAGAACCATTTAGATGAGCACTTGAAGTGCCATAGCGTTCAAGGCTATGGGCCAAGTACTGGAAAATGAAACTAGAATAGATGGGTGTTAGATGTCTAACACAGTCAGGATGGGCTGAAGGTTCTCTTTGTGTGTTGTAAAAATTCTACGACTCTGTTACTCCTAGATTCTAAGTCGTAGCGAATAATTACACAAGTGGACAAACAAATGGATTGTGGATTCTATGATAGAGTATCTTGTTGTTATAAGGAAGTAATTAAAACCACTCTACCGACTGTCTCCAACCACTCAAAAGGGAGCCCAGAACTATCTCTGCAGAAAAGAATTTCTCATTAGATTAAGTCTCCAGCACAGACGTTGTGGTTGATTAACATGTCATCCTTTCCTTTGTGAGATCTGACGTGAATGCAGCCAGGGTTATAAGATAAGACTTTGAGGGACCCACTCTGTCAAAAATGTCTGGACAACCTCAACTCAGTCTCTGG